AGTCCCTATAGCGAGTTGACATAGCGAGTTAGGGGTGTTAGCCTCTCGAATGGGTGCGGCGACGATGAACATGGGCGGGGGTCCTAGGAATCATAACCAAAATCACCATTGGGAGGCACCGAAATTGACCATGAAGATGATAAGGATGATGAGAACGTCTCGATCGGGAGGCATCGAGCTCCTATGAGGGGGCCCGATAGTAGGAGGTGGGAGAGTGGCATGCGGATGAAGATTTTTGAATTTCATGGCACCCTCAAGCAGAGGAGTTTCTAGATTGGTTGTCGAATGTGAAAGAGATTCTAGAGTTTAAGGATGTTCCCGAGGATAAGCGGGTGCCCTTAGTAGCCACTAGGTTTAGAAAGAAGGCGACTAGTTAGTGGAAGCAGTGAAGTCGATCGGAAATCAAATGGTTAAGCCTAAGATTACATCTTGGGAGAAGATGAAGAAACATATGCATACCGCCTTCTTACCCTATAATTTTCGAGAGGATGATGCACTAGCGATTACGGGATTTGAGACAAGAGGCTCGATTAGTAGATGATTACACAACGGATTTTTACTAGTTGTTAGCCCAAAATGAATTACAAGAGACGGAGGATCAATTGACGGTGAGATATATCGGGCGACAAAAACCACAGATTAGGACTCTATTAATATGTTCGATCCTATGTGTTTTTCAGCGACCTTTTAGAAGGCACTACTTGTTGAGAAGCAGTTGCGCCATTCAAACGGTTTCACTAACCCCATCGGTATGGGAGGCGGTAGTGGCGATAGCGGTAGTAGTGGGTTGAGTGGTGGTAGTGCCAATGTAGGTCGAGCGAGGGGCGATGATAATAGGGGTCAAAACGAGTCGAGTTTTTAGGAAGTTTAGCAGAGCAACCAACAACCAGGTAACCACATAAAATGCTTCGAGTTATGGTGAAATTGGCCATAAGTAATTGGAGTGTCAAAAGACAGGAAATAAGTTGTTTCTTAGTGATACGAAAGAGTATGATGAAGTCGATGATGAGTTAGCGAGTGAGCTTATTTATGATGATAGAGATGCCTCGGAGGAAGAGATTGTTATGGGAGATAATGGGACGAAATTGGTTGTAAGGAGGTCTTGCCTAACCCTTAGGGTCATTGAGGATGATTAGTTAAGAAGTAACATCTTTCGATCCACTTGCACTAGTTAGGTTAAGGTATGCCGCTTTGTCATTAATGCTAGTAGCTATGAGAATATTATGTCTAATGAGGCAATACAAAAGTTGAGCCTCAAAATAGAGGGACATCTAAGCTTATAAGTTGGCTTGCCTAAAAAAGGAGGTGAGGTAACTCGTTTCTAAGCTTACTTTAGTGTTATTCTCTATTGGTTTCAAATATAAGAATGATGTGTGGGGTGATGTGGTTGTCATGGATGCATATCATTTGTTGTTAGGTAAACCATAGCGAGTATGATAGGAGTGTAACCCCATGAGGGGTGATGTAATACTTACGGGTTCCTATTTAATGGGGATAAGATTATGGTTATGCCTAGCAAGAATCTGGTTGGTTCCAAGCTTATAGGGGATAATAGTAAATTGGTGTCGTTGGATTGGTTTGAGGAAGAGGTGCGGGATTTGGGAGTGATTTATGTGTTGATAGGGAGCGAAGGCTGGAGCCGAGACGAGTAGTGTCGAAGGTAGTAGGCCCTTTGTGGTAGGATTTCGTGATGTGTTTCGGAAGAGTTGCTTGATGAGTTACCCTCATTATGAGATATCCGAGCACCATATTGATCTAGATCCCGGGGTATCATCGCCTAATAGACCCCATTACCGGATGAGTCCTAATGAGCATGAGGAGTTGAGGAGATAGGTTGAAGAGTCGCTTGCTAATGGGCATGTGCGAAAGAGCTTGAGTCTTTGTGCCGTACCTACTCTGTTGATGCCAAAGAAGGATGATTTTTGACGCTCTGTGTGTAGAAATTTGTGCCATTAATAAGATCATAGTTCGATACAAGTTCTCCATTCCATGGTTGGATGACTTGCTTGATCGAATCGGTAGGGCAATAGTCTTTACGAAACCGGATTTATCATTAGATATGCATTAGGCTTGGAGATGAGTGGAAGACGACCTTTAAGACACGTGAGGGGTTGTATGAGTGGTTAGTCATACTTGTTTGGCTTATGAAATGCGCCAAACACTTTTATATGTGTCATGAATCAAGTTTTGAGGCCATTTATCAATAAATTTATTGTTGTTTATTTTGATGATATTCGATTTATAGTGCTAATTCGGAAGTCCATGTTGAGTATTTGAGGGATGTTTTGACAATGCTTCATCGAGATACGTTTTATGCAATAGTGAAAAAATATGTATTCATGGAGCGTAAGGTATCGTTTACGGGCTATGTAATTTCGAGAGATGGATTGCGAGTAGATGAGTCCAAAGTCGAGATGGTGAGACAGTGGCCACGGCCTAACAACATTATGAAGGTTTGAAGTTTTCATAGGCTTGCTTCTTTTTACCGATGCTTTATTCCTCACTTTAGCAACATGATAGCCCTAATTACCGACTACGTGAAGGAAACAAAATTTACATGGTCCGAAGAGGCATTTCGATAGATTAAGGTACGATTGACGTACGTATCGATTTTAGTGTTGTCAAATTTTATGTAACCATTTGAGCTATACGGTGATGTATCAAAGTTGGGTATTAGGACGGTGTTGAGTCGGAATAACGGACCAATAGCCTACTTCAATGAAAAGCTTGTAAGGTGCGAAGCTTAATTACAATACTTATGATGTGGAGTTTTATGCGAGTGGTTCGAGCGATCAAATAATAGAGGCATTACTTATTCCATAAAGAATTCATATTGTATATCGATCATGAGGTATTAAAGCATTTACATAAGTAGGATAAGGTATTAGCAAGGCATACGAGATGGGTTGTCGACTCGCAAAAGTTCACTTTTGTGGTTAAGTATAAGATTGGGGTCACTAACGAGTGGCGGATGCACTAAGTAGGAGTAGTTGCTTGTTGACCCGTATGCGAATTGAGGTACTTGGTTTAGATTTGTTTAATGACTTGCTTGACATCGATCCATATTTCTCTATCGTTATAAAGAAGGTCCACACGAGAGAAGACGAATTCCTATTACATGATGGGTTCTTGTTCGAGGAAACCAGACTTTGTGATTTCGATTGCGAGTGACGTGTACGGACTATTAAAGAGTTCGTATAGAGAGGGTCATGTAGGGAGAGACGAACATTGTAGCTAGTTCGAGCTTCGTACTTTTGGTATACCATTCGAAAAGATGTGGATAAGTTTATGCGGCGATGTCGAATTTGCCATGTGTCTAAGGGTGCTGCTACTAATGTCTGAACTTTACATGCCGTTGCCTATTCCATCTCGGCCTTAGGTGGATGTCGGTATGGATTTTATTTTGGGACTACCCCAAAACAGCGAGGTAATGATTCCATCTATATGATTGTTGATCGTTTTTCTAAGATGGTTCATTTTATTCCTTCCAAAAAGACAACATATGTTGTTAATGTTGCTCATCTTTATTTTTGGACGGTGTATCGCTTGCATGGTCTACACCGCATCCATTGTGTCCGACGGAGACACGAGGTTCCTCGATCATTTTTGAAGCGAGTTTATGGAAGATGTTGAATACATAGTTAAACTTCGGTAGTGCCTATCATCCACGGACAAATAGGTAAGCCGAAGTTGTCAATCAATCTTTGAGAAACTTGCTTCGATGTCCAGTTGGTGATCATGTCAAGAGTTAGGACTAGAAATTATGCCAAGTCGAGTTTGCTTATAACCATACTATTAACGGGAGTATGGGATTCGGTTCTTTTTAGGTGGTGTATTTTGTGATTGCACGTGGGCCTTTAGATTTGATACCGTTATCAAGCGAGACCAAGATCCACAACAAGGTAGTAGATTTTGTGATAAGGTTATAGGAGATTCACGAGACTGTTCATGACAACTTAGCTCAATCTTATGCGAAGTACAAAACGAGTCGTTGATAAAAGGCATCGTTATGTTGAGTTCGAAGTAGGTGACTTCATATGGGCCGTCCTAACCAAGGATCATTTTTACGTGGGAGATTATAATAAATTGGCGACGAAAGAGATTAGTTCTGTGGAGATATTTGAGAAGATCAATCCCAATGCATATCGTCTCAAGTTCGCCTATTCATATTCGTACTTGTTGATGTGTTCAAAGTCAAGCATTTGATACCCTTTCATGGTGAGTCTTAAGATGATGATGATGCGGTCAATTCGAGGTCAAATTTTCTCTTTCCGAGGGGAATGATGTGGACCAAAAGGCCTTGGAATTTATAGAGCGGCATGATAGGGTATGGTGATGGGAGTTAGGATTTTTGGGGGTTTTTGGACCTAGTTTGATGAGAAACGGACTAAGGAGCAAAACACATGGCTTTGCCTATGATGTACATGTTATTTTCATAAAAAAATGTCGTTTAGGCCCTCAAATCGCCAATTTACTATTCTCGTCCATACGAGTAGCGGGTTTTTAGGATTTTTTCTACTTAATTTTCGATTTTTAGTGTTCGTTTTCTTTTTAAATTGTTTTAGGGTTTTGACCTAAAATTTACTATTTATGTAAGACGTTTAGATCGAAAAACACTACTTTTGCTTGATTAATAAACTTTTGTGAGAGAGTATCTCAAATTTTTTAATTGCCAGTATTCTTGGAATCAACGGGATTGAAGCCTATTCTCTAATATTTGTGTGCAAATCAACAAATTATAGTAGATCGGTATCTGAATATCAGATCAACGGTATTTATCATTCTTTTTTATGAGTTTCTACTAAAGTCACTGCTCTTGCATTTCCAAACAAAAAGAGGACCCTTGTCTTCATACATAATATCAAAAAATCACATGTATAACAGCTTGAAATCTGTCGTTTAACGTGTGCGTACAGCAAACATTACCATGCGCGTGAAGTCCTGAATGGGCATATCCTGAAAATCAAACTCCAGAAATCTACACCATTCTCTCCTATATAATGGTACCGAAGCTCTTCACTAGCCGCTTGTACCCTAAAATAGAACATCCATTCCTTGAGAAGATGATTCTTCCTAGCTTCCTCATCTTTTCTCTCCTCTCCTCAATATCAAAAGCTGCGGTGCAGGACTTTTGCGTTGCAGACCTCACAGGTCCAGACACCCCTTCAGGCTTCGCTTGCAAGAAGCCTGCAAAGGTAACAGTGGATGATTTTGTTTTCTCAGGCCTAGGTGCTGGTGGAAACACCTCAAACATCATCAAAGCTGTTTTGACAACAGCATTTGCTGACAAATTCGGAGGTATAAATGGCCTTGGAATTTCCGTGGCTCGTTTGGACATGGCAGTAGGTGGAGTGGTTCCAATGCACACACACCCAGGAGGTTCAGAAGTTCTAATCGTTATCTCCGGGACAATCTGTGCTGGGTTCATTTCCTTGGAAAATAGAGTTTACTTTAAATCTCTTAAGAAGGGAGACATAATGGTTTTCCCTCAAGGTTTAATTCACTTCCAAATAAATACAGGAAGGCTTCCAGCCCTAGCATTTGTTAGCTTCAGTAGTGAAAGACCAGGTCTCCAGATTCTAGACTTTGCTCTCTTTGCAAACGATTTGCCATCTGAAATTGTTGAGCAGACTACGTTCCTCGATGATGCTCAGGTTAAGAAACTTAAGGGTGTTCTTGGTGGTACTGGTTAAGTACTGGAGCTCTCTGCAAACTCAATCTGCCAAGAAAACAAATTAATTAAATATTGGTCTAGAGAGATCATGTCTTCCTCGTTCATGCTAGCTGTTGCTTTCTTTTAATTTGCTTTTCCATCAAATAAAATTGTCTCTATGACAAGATTCTGCTAGTCTGTTTTAGTGTTTATTTGTATTTGATTCTCCATGTTGAATTTAACCGGAAAATTCAACAAAAATTAATGCGTTCCATAATTATTTTGTCTCGTTTTGAAACTACACTGGATAAATAAATGCATGTTTTTATCATCTTTATGGTTTTAAAAAGTTCGGGCAATCCCAAAAATATATAACAATGATATGATACGACGCAAAAGCTCTAAATTAACGAAAGAAATCAATAGTAAGTGATCAGCTTTACATATACACTACTTTTAACTAACCTTTATGATTTAGGTTTCCATTCTCTTGCAGAGCCTTCTGAGGGTGAAGAAGATCATACTCACATAAATTCCACACCTTTTTGGTGGTTTATGTATTGCATATATATAAGGTACAATTGGTGGTTTGAAAATAAATACATCTTATTATATTTGATCTTATCAGAGTATTTAAATTGAAATATGTTTGAATTTAAAAGATAAAATCCTAAGTGAATCCTAACTGCGAGTATATCCTAGTCTTTATGCTCTTTTGTTTGCTGAGAGTTGCTCTGCCTCATACCACTCGGAATGTAATTTGCTTTCGGGCTTCGGCCCGATTTTTATCAAAATGGAAACTAGCCTTCGTAGCATAGACAGTGAACTATGATTTCCTTTATGGCTAATGGTATGATAATTAGTTTGAATCCCTCTTTTCTTATTTATTTTTTATTTTTATTTTTTTAATACCCTTTCGGGCTTCGGCCTCTCACTAACTCTTTTTAAGAAATTTTAGTTGAAATTGGTTGTACCTTTTTTTATATGTATATATTTATGAGTAATAATGTATTTCTCAACCCGTTTTATAACAGAAAATAAATCTACCAGTTCTGTTACCTAACAGTGATAACCTTATCATCAACTTCGTAATTGTATGGTCCAAACTTATCGAGAGTGGCCGTGGCATTACCCAAAACTTTGTTCTATCAGCATCAACAAAGAATCTGTTTTCTTAACCTGCAACGCATAGTCAATTAGCCTGCAAGAGCCTTAGCTTGGCCTCATGCATAAATCGCCAAGCTACAAGGACGAACTGTATATATATATTCTTTAATTGATATTGAGGCTTTATTAGGCCTAGATTGCATTACGAGGAATGAGTACATTTTACGGTTCAAAATGACATTAAAGATAAGCCCTAAAATAAGAACCATCCTCTATCATGTTCATGGATTCCCAATACAGAGTGAAGAGTATTGAGATCGAGGTAGGAAACAACGAAGGCAAGACTTGACATTTGTCTGTGGTGACTACTTGACTTTACGGTTCAAAAGATAAAAATTAAACTCGTCATAACTCATTTTTTACTTCAGATATTTACTTTATCTACTTATCAAAATTTCTATGATTTATTGCATGGTGAATGTTCCTCGTGAATTTATTTTATCAAGATTTATTTTTATTATCAACTTTTAATTTTGGTTTTTATTTTTATTTATTGCATGGTTTTAATTTATTTGTTTTTGTTCCCACGGAAGGAGTGATTGTCCCCCATATTAAGGAAGAAAAATGTATCTTTGGTTTTAATAAAATAAGGACTTGCCTCTAGCATTTGTTTATCATGTTTTAAAATTTGATCAATTTTTTAAATGTTTTGAGTGAATTCGCCATTATATTTTCTTGATGGCGAAGGATATAATGTCAAATAATACTTTTAAATAAATATCTCTTGATTGCAAAATAAGAAAATATGAAATTGTAGGAAAAAAAAACTATTTTTCATTTAAATACGTGATTCAATCCACACATAGCAAAATGTTTTTGAAAAATAGGGTTCAAAATTCAATAAAAAATTAAAAAACTACGAGTTACAAATTATAAACATACATCATTACCATAACTTTCAAGCTCATTCAATCTCTCTATCCTCTCGTGTTAACAATTGTACGATTTAGGAGCGAGTTCATGTTCACATTAGAAGCATTTAGACCACCGCAAAACCGATCTACCTTTGCTTAATCAAAGCCAACAACCTCTTCTTGAATGTAGGTCAATTATCAATGTTATGCTAGTAGCACATGAATGATATTCGCATATCTCATCTTGCTTATATAATAGAGGATAAGGGGTTACTTTGGTTTGGCTATAATTAGGGTAATCGCCCAATATTTACTAGACATCTGAAATATTTCACCTAATAAGAAAGATAAGGGTGGTAACTATTTGTGGTTCTTTTTTTTTTTTTTTTTTTCCCTCTTGGTTATTTTAGTGATATGGGTTGTATGTTGGGACATTTTGGTAGAGCCTAATGACTCGATGGAATTGACTTATTTAGTACATTTGATTGGGCAAATAGAACGATTTGGCCGATTTGATGGGTATGATTGGTAGGTTTGGTTTCTTAGATATGGTTGTATTTAGGTTGGAAATGTGGCAGACATTGTGGTCATTAGGTTGGATGTGTATTGGGTAGATGTGGGGTTTTGAATGTTATTGGGATTTTCATGGTTGCCTTGACTTTCTTGATTGCTCCATCGATTTCTAGATCAAGAGGATTCGGTCTCAACCTAATGTATCTCACTATCTATCCTTTTGGTGTAGTCACTCTTTTACTTCTCAAAACCATTAGGAATCTTTCCGACTTTGATCGCCTCTTCTATTCCCTCGGCGACGTTAACAATGTCAATAAAGTTTATGGAGGAGTTTCCAATCAAATGCTCAAAGTATAGTGCTTTAAAAGTATTCGAGAAAATGATGATCAATTCTTGTTCGGCTAGTGATGAATGAATCTAAGCTGCCACCTTACGCCACCTTTGGGCATATTCCTTCATGGTTTCTTTCGAGCTTTCTTCTATAACTTATAAATCGGATCGGTTTGGAGCAACCTTCATGTTGAACTTGTACTATTTTACAAAATTATCTGCTAGATCGTTCCATCTTTTGATATTTGGTATTGTCTAGTTGCTTATACCGACTCAAAGCTAACCCACTCGGTCTACGATGGGAGAAATGGATGAATAGTTTTCCATCATGCGTAACTTTAGCTATCTTGCTACAATATACTTGTAGGTGAGTCATTGGATACTAAATGCCTATGTGCTTGGTAAAATTTGACACTCTGAATTTTTTGAGGATTATTACATTCGACACTAGATAGATCTTGGCTACTCTTACATGATCATATATCTATATCCCTTAGGCATTTCTCAATAGTAGACGACTTGTCAAAGTTGGGTTCCTCTACCATCTTAACTTCGTGGATTTCCTTAGGAATAAGATCCAAGTAGGTGTGTCTTGTATCTATGGTGGTTATAAGCCTATAGTATAAGGAAATTATTTTGCTAGGAATGATGCTTCACGAGGGAATGTAGTTTCCCTCATGTTGACAAGCAAGGTAGAGGATGATCTCGGTTGTGCATGTATATTGGGTGGTAGGATGGGCTATGGCATTTCCTTTTGGGCTTGACCATGGCTTGAGATACCTTCTTAATCTTACAATACTTATAATACCCTTTTAAATAGATTGGTGAGATGAGAGATTTATCCTTTCATAGCTTTTAGTTTCCCCTGCTGGGCTTGTCCTAATTATGCCCTCTCTTTCTTTTCCATCATGCATTGCCAAAGTTGAGTACGATGTATTCGGAGAGGGAGTTGAATTTGGTAGCAAGACTTATATTTTCACCTATTGTGAACTTAAAACAAAGCTTTACAATATATAAGATAAATGTATGCATGTAAAATGTGAATTGGGTCGGATACCACCACCTTGATGTAGCAAGTTTTAAATCATAATAGAGTTTGAGCCGAGAAGGAACGGATCAAATTTTAATTACTAGTCGAGAGTACAAATCCACAAATACTTAGGATGATTTGGGGAGACATATATACATGTTTCTTTTTCTAATGCGAAGTGAGGGATGTATCTCATAAAAAAAGAACTTACGAGAGAAGTAAAAATTAAGACTTCTAGCACATTTTAAATGTGATTTAGAGCTATTTTTTCATTAAAAGATAAAAAACATAACCATTTTGATTTGCATTACGGTGAATATTCTATCTTTCATTACAAAAAAAAAAAAAAAAAAGCAGTTACTCTCCTAATTTAGATTGAGATGTGCGAGCAGTAACATCTATAAGGTTCTTGAGCCTTTTAAGTCTCATATTCTCTTGCATTTGAGATATAAATTTTGAGGGTAAATAGCCTCCCTCCTCAAACTGAGCTAGTCTACCCTTAAAATTCTCAATTGTATATTCCATTCTTCCTATCATGATTTTGGTGACTCGTCAAAAAAAAAAAAAAAAAGGTCAACATGAGCAACATCGAAAAAGAAGTTGTGTTTTAATGGGTCAACCCTTGCGGATAAGTTCTAGTCTTTCTAATAGGATTTAGGTCAAGTCTGTCTAATTCAAAAGGCCTTTGAAGTTTGTAGATTGTCTAGATTATCAATGCCTTTAACCTTGTGTACGAGGAAGTATGGAAAAATCATTCCACAATTTCCTAGGCATAAGGTGAGTTTCAATCCAAATAGCGATCTAGATGAGAATTAGTGGCCATCGTCACACTCGTCATTTAGATCTCTCTATCTAAATTCTCAATATTTTTTTTTTTTTGGTTCGAGTCCAATGCTTTTTTTTTTTTTTTAATCATGTATGTGCGTAAACATCAAACATCCATTTATCCAATCCGAGTTCACTATACACATGAAAATTAATAAAGAAATTTAAGTACATAAAATAAATTACTTAAAATAAATGACTTAAATTTAAATTAGCAATAAATAAATACTCGAAAGATAAATGACTTTGTAACACCCCAACCTCGGACCTAGATAGGTCAAGGATATTATCGACATTGACTCATAGTTGAAGTATAATTAA